TACAGATAAACTGAAAAAGTGAAATCAGTTGCGAAATCATCTGATGACGTTGTTAACAAAGTTTATAAAAATACTGCAATTTTTATTGAAAATCTCATTTTAGCAAAACTAGGCCGCTACGGGTTTTTTTATTTCAAAAAAAGGCGGAACTTCGCTGTACAGGCGATTCAAAATCTGCTCTGCAATCATCAAAAAGATAACATGATTTGAAGTTGAACATGTTACAAAAATACCAGGAGGAAAGAACCGATCACGTTTGATAAAAACAATTTCACCAAATTAAAGCAAAGTTTCTCAAAATTATTTCAAAATTCTTGAAATGTCGAGCAGTCTGCGCTGTGGTAACATAGACAACAATGACTTAGCAACCTAATCTCGAAATGAAACATTGCATTCATTTCGCTAAAAGCGTAGATTCTAGACTGACTGAGACCGTTAATAAATGTCACATCACGCAGATAAGTTGTCTCCGCGCCAAAAGCGCAGTATAAATTTACTGATTTTGAGAATTGTTTTAATTTTTGCAAATAGCTCACAGATACTGTTGACTTTAGTGATTATGGAATGCGATCGACAAACTTTTTTGCCTTTTTGTTTTTCATTGCTCCATTATTAGCCAGTTTTTCTCGCGAGCGTAAAAATTAGCGCTCTGTCAACTTATAAGGTGTAGAAAACGTTTTTTTTCCTAGCCTCTTTTTCTGCTCTGATATCGAGTGCTCGTATGTTTGCTTCGTTTAGAAGTTCTACCTCGCTAGAAACTTGTCCTGCAGTTGGTACTTGGTGTGGCTTCTTATATTTTATTTATCACAATAGGCGCCTTCGTACTACACATATAAACCATTTCCACTCTAAGAAGATCTTGTAATGCAAAACAGAAATGAAATATCCGAAAAAATAAATGAGTGAAAATAATTTTAAAGTCAACTGATAGCTCTATTTATTTAAAATTTACATATTACACAAAAACCTGTAAAAAAGTTTTATTTTCAGCAAAACGAGACCACTCTCAAATTTAGGAAAAAACTGGACCTTCGCAAAACAAGCAATAAACAAATATGCTCCATGATAATCAAAAAAGATAGTACGACTTCAACTGAACGACAAATTTTCTATTAAATTTTCAAAAAAATTAGCAAATAATTTTGCTTACTTTTCCCAATAAAAAAATTGACTAAATTATAGTAAAATTTTTAAAAACTAATTCATCCGCAGCAATAACACTTCATACAACATCGATAAGTACGAGTTGTGGTAAAAAAAAAGCCTGCAATCAGTAAGCATACTCAATATAATCCAAAACTTTTGACGAGTCTGTTTGAAGAATTAATTTAGCAGAATTCATCGATTCTGACATTTACACTGCTGATGGAATTCAAACAGAGTTTATCATTGTTCACAGATCGGTTCTTAACCACTAACTCTTGCATGTGTAAATAGCAGCACTCTGCAATTTCGAAAGGCAAATTAATTTCTTTGAATTTTTATTTTAAAAAAATAGTACCCGCTGGCTGGCTAAATGCTATCAAACAACCATTCTAGGGTTGCGATTCTATGCTGAAAATATGACCCTCCAAACCTTTGTAGTTTTCGAGATATCGCATTTTTTTGAAAATTTTTTAAAAAAATGAAAAAAATTAGTTTTTTTTTCATATTATTTCTCAGTCTTAGTTCGTCAGCTGGAATGAGAATTGGCCGAAATGACAGGACTAGATGTAATATCTATTCCTTAAAGAGGGCTTAATTTTTGGGAAAAATAAATTTTTCCCCACAATCCTATATTTATTCGAATATAAATTTATCTTTATTACTTAGTTGCAATCATAATTTGTTCAACGGGTAGACGTCAAGTAGGCACATACTGCGCCTTTTGTCTATCCCCTCCATTTTGTTGATTTATCAATTTAAATAAATTGATTTTTGTATTATCAACTATATGGAGAAATAAGTTCTTTTTCTTCTTCTTCTTAAAATGTCATTAAATTTTTTATTCAAAAAATTGGTTTTTCGAGCTGATCTCGGAGTGCATTTATTTGTTTTGACTAATACTTGTACCTCTCAACGCAGTGGAGCGACTGCAACGTTCACTATCAATTCGACCATTAAAAAGTAATTTTTATAAGGAAAAAATTGTGAGTTTGGTCTTTTTATAACTATTTAAAAATGTCTGTTAATTGCCTTAGCAAAGTTGTGCTGCCGAAAACTTTTTCTAACTTTCCTTATTCTAAATCTGTGATTAACTTAACATTTATAAAACTGTTTTTTTTTAAAGTAAAACGGAAGAAACAACAATCATTAGCGCACCTATGCACTAAACTTCGGCACGGCCCCCGTCATTTTTCTTATCGCACTAGGCGCGTTTATGTCAATAATTTTTACCATTTCCTCTGAAAGTTATTACATAATAAGCCAAAGAAGAAATGTCTGAAAAACTAAATTAGTGAAAGCAATTGTAGAATCAACTGATCATATTGATAACAACGTTTATATCAAACACAGAAACATTTAATGCAGATCCATTTTGAGCAGCGCGAGACCACTACCCGAACTAAAAAGTATTTCAAAGAGAATTGGACTGTAGGGATTTCAAAGAGAATTAAACGAGGGGCACTTTAGGGTCAATTCTTTAAAAAATATGTGACAAACTGACAATTATTGAACAAAAAACGTTGATAAAACGGTTGTTTCATTTTTTATCATGCAACTTCTCACATGCTACGTACAGTATAACGGTCAAAAACTAAGCGTCTTGTTTTATAATAAAAATATTTAAATTACCTCATATGAGTTTCGAACGTTTTGGTCTGCCGCTTAAGCGTGTTATAAAAACGCAATAGATTGTGAGTTGTTTATCGAAAATTGGCTAAATTACCAAATTTCAAACCAATTTTTAAAATGATCCAAGATAAGATTTTGCTTTACATATTTGAGCCTCGGACAACACCTTTCATACATATTTGACATATTTTTGTCAAAAACGCTTAGTTAAAAAGTCGAAAATTGACCGAATAAAAAACCGCCCCGAAGCTTAATTATTCGGCAGAGATAATTGGCTAAACATTTTTTTTATAAAGTCCGACCTCTTTGCGAAAGCCCGCAAAAACTTGTTAAATAAGCTAATTCAGTTGTTAAATCAACTATTGTGATTGTTATCAAAGTACAAAATAAAAAAACCTGTTCTGGAGTTCCACTTATACCAAATCGAGATTTGTATCTGAATTGAAAGTATTTCAAAAACAACTGTAACTTCACATAACAGGCTATACACAAACCTTATCTATGACCATTAACGAATGCAATATGAGTTCAAACGTAACGACAGATTCTATTTTGATTTTTAATACTTGCGAAAGCAATTTCTTTTAATCGGGAGCTAGTTTTTCCCGTAAACAGCTTTTCTTTCATAATTGATTGTCGCGTTGTTGCCACAACACGGATTTGTTTTGCACTGTAAGAAGTTTTCATTGTAGTTTCTAAGATACTAAGTTTACTAGCCACGATTGGTGTATTATTCGTTTTTTTTTCTTCATTTTTTAGGCTCCGAAATTTAGTTTGGCCGATAAATGATTTCGGCTTGTTTTGTCGGTTTAGTGAAACTATTTTGTATCGACTATACGGCAAAATTTTTTAAAATTCAACTAAATCAAATTGGTTGAGCTATAAAAATTAAAAAATCAAACAAGTTTTTAAAAACAATTTCCTTTCCAAAATGGTTTTTATGACAAATATTTTTTTCCTGTAAAATTTGTATTATCTAATTTTTGTTTGCCTACTCAAGTTTTTGTCTTCCATGGCCAACTCAAACCAGGCGAACGAATTACTAGCGACAAAAAAAATTGCTGCGAATGGATGGAAGGACAATCGACGGCTTCGTCAACTCGTCGTCACAAGAAAACCAAAAAAAACGTCAGCCTTCGAGCTTCTATGAAAAAAGCATATGGCCTTAGAGCTAGCTTAATTTCATAGACGAAATATCAATGACGTTTTTTGATACAATTAACTCAACTTGAGAAAACAGGATCACAAGGAAAAGTTTTTATTCTGCCGGGTAATATGAAAATAAAAATCGACTTTCCAATTTAGAATTTGAAACAAGATGATTTTGAAACTAGAAATTGCGTAGTATGGCTTTCAATGAAAAATGAAATTGATAACAGGCAGATCGGAAACTTTAACCAGGGTCAACAGACGCGAAGCTAAACTTCGCACCACTTTCTATCCAAAATGAATGACTGTGATCAAAATCAATGAAAAAGTTCAAAAAAAAATTCAACAACTGTTTTAAAGCCAACAAAAATAAGCAGACGGACCATAATTCAAACAAGAAAAGTTTCAGTTTGCAAAATAAAACAGGTCTTGACAGGAATCGAACTCCTGGACTTGTCACCTCGAGCATCAATGTTACAGTAAAATCAGGGAAACTAATGCTTAAAAAAACGTACACTACGGGAACTAACTCACAAAAAGAAACAAAAGGACGATAGTCCGAAAAGGCCCAAAATTCTAGTTTGCAAAAACACAGGTCGCGTTCGGATTCGAGCTACAAGTCTTTGCGATCTCAAGGAGTTGTGTTACCTCTAAGACAGATGGTTGATTGAATTTGAATAAATAATTGGCTATCGGTAACAAAGCCCGAAAATGCCATTAAAATCAGATCCAACATATACTTTAAACTTTTTGCAGTCATTTAACGACGCAATAATAGACCTTCAAGTCGATATTAAAAAAACAAAACCTAAAAAAAAGTAAAATTAACAACAAATCGAGTTGGTGAAATTACGACCAACATCGAAAGCAAACTTCGATTAGGCCGGATATTTTAAATGCTAACATGCTCAAAATTAGTCTGTTGTAACAGAAAGGCCCAGTAGATGAATGAGTCCAGGAGATGGATGAGTCCAGTGAACAAAATTATTCATGGAAAAAAGCCTAGTACCCGATCACAATACCCTTGCTTATCGCAAGGGCAATAAAATCCACCTCTCCGTGTGAAAATCAAAAAATTATTAGTCATTACTTTGTTTTAGATTAATTCAATCTTTCCAAATAAATTTATTTTAGTGGTCTCACGAAATTGGTTGTTTTGAAACAAAGAAACAGTACAATTCAACTAAAAATAAAACAGTCAATAAACAAGGCAAAAGTTCAAATTGATTTTTATCTAAAGACTAGTTTATAAGCTTCAGGTTTTGCAACCTTTGAAATCGATAAGATTGCTAGCAAAACATGAGTTCTGGAGTTTTAGTCGGTTTGGCCGAGATGAGTCCAACCCCACACAATCACTGAAAAGCGCCCTTTCTCTGCTCTATCAGTTGTATTTATTTTTGTTGACATCTGGGGTATGCCATGTCTCCATAAAATGTTCACTTCTTTCCCAAAGCTGTAAACCGAGCCATTAATGAGAGGTAATGACAAAGTAGTTTTCGTTTTAGCGTGTTCAAATGCAACCTAAAACACAGCCAACAGACAATTGAAAAGATATTATAACTGGATTCATGATATGTTTTTACATCTTACAGTTTCATGGACAGTACAGTACAGAAGTAAATCATTAGGCCATGAACTGGTCTTTTCGTTATAATTAGCGAAGAATGAGTGACTTCAAGACAATCTTCACAGTGCATGAACTAAAGGGGACCGCATGAACTTATTATGTTTCAATTTTGTTAATTCTTCCGGCAAGCTTAACTTAGCAAAACAATTGATATATTCTTTAGCTTTTCTAAAGATTTTACAGATATTTAGGTAATGACTGCTTTTCTTACTTCTCGTTCAGCGCCGAAAGATGCAGCGACAGTAATATTCTGGCTATTTGCTTTATCCACTTTCACAGCCGATGCGTCGTGGTGATATGGCTTCCATGCTGAATTATCCCTATACCAATTCAATCGTGTAGCCTTTGCCTCCATTTTAAAGTAAGTACAAAGTTCATCTAACACTCTATTGAACGTAGGACAATATTTCTTCCAGCTTAACTTATCGTTGGCTATCAAATGACTATCTCCGTGCCATGGAACCCAAACGTCTTCGGGGACGCTTGATGCAATTTCATTTTTTAAGTTCTCATAAATTTCATAGCTGTTACAATCGAACAAACTCTGCACAACTACTACATCTCGAGGTGTATGAAGCCTATTGTATGTATCTAAACCAAATGGTGCGCAAACTATTCTGATTTGTGCCGGTTCATGAGAAGGTGTGAATGATTCCGTATTTTTCCCTCTAACAGGAGCCAACTCCTCTTCATGGAAAGACTTGATTGGATAGAAAGGGTCAATTATGTCCACGGGTTTCTTGGTTGAGTCTGAACTTGAAATCGATTGCTGTTGAAATTTTGGAGAAAAATTGGATTGAAAGCCTTCCATATTTCTGGGAGCAGTTCGTTTGATGTGATTGCTAGCCCAACCAGTTCCTTGAATTCTACTATGATTGCTTCGCCTACTTTTTGAATTCTTATGACTTGATTGACCTTGGCGGACATCTTCAACCGATTCTATTTGACTCTCAATCCTTACTCCTTCAAATTTGTCCGCTAAATCGTTCATCATAGATCGATCTCGTATTCAAAATACAATCTGATCGCACTCAGATATCTGAAAATTAAAGATGTTTACAATGTTTAAATAGACTAATGCAAAAACAACAAAACTGCTCGTGTCGGCGCAAAGCCCTGAATAACTCGACTGCCCTTTAACGTAAATGCAATACTTTTTGGACCAAAATTATTTTACAAACTTTTTTTAAAAAAAATTGAGCTTGATACTAGGTGCTGCTTTTTGAGGGAGGGTAGGTATTTCATATTGACTGAGCTTCAGAAACCTGTTATCCTGAGTTCAAATAATTGGAAGAAAATTTGTGCCTAGAAAGAACATTTGTGCCTTTTCACTTGCTTCGGATGTAATCAGACCACGGCCTCTACAAAAATAATGGCCATATTATGGTAGCCTTTCCGTATAAAATATTTCTTTTTTAAGTTTCGCAAAACAACCTTTTTCCTAGTGATAACCTTTGTGTCTTTAACAATTTTTTTCTGATTATATTTTAAGTTTCGCAAAACAATCTTTTTTCCTAATGATAACGAAAAAACAAAATTCCACAAAAAACAACAATCTCAGGTTACTGTTTTTTTTTTCAAATTTGTGTCGTTTTAATGTCGTGGTGTGATAAATAGATCTGAATGAAAAACTAGAACTTAGGGATATTCGTCAGACATAATAAAATAGGCCACAATTGGAAAACAGTTTTCGTTCATGTTTTGCAGAAAATTATAAATAAGGAAGTTTTCGATCCCCAAACTGGCGCTGAAATCTCCAAAAACTAACTTTGCTCGAGTAAAACTAGGTTTTCACGGCTCAAAAGCAAAAATAAGAAAAAAAGCTATAGTAAGCATCACTTTATCAGCTTAAAATTAGGCAAACATCAAAAATTTCGAACTGGTTTTTCTCGATACTGAGAAAAAATTAGAGATTTTCAAATGGGTACTACTATGACAGCGGTCTCTTGAAATAAACCAGGTCCCTTGAGAATAAGACACCTAGAGCTCTCAATCCCTTAATAATTATGATTTCGTCATTCAGAAAGGTGACGCAGTATATTTTCAAACTTTATGTTTTGTTAGTTCGTAAAATCCCCCCCCCCCTCACCATTTTGAGGAGGAAAATTCAAAAAAAAAACACCAAAATTGAGTTTTGATGGCAAATAGGGTAACCCAATTATGTTTGCTAAACTGTAAAAAAAGCGAGCAAATTTCGTCATAAAAAGAATGAAATACTTACAATTTTCAATCTGAAAACTTTCTGACTGTACATATTTTGCAAGACTTTTAAAATGAACAATTTCTGCAAAAATCGGTTTTCAAAATTATAACATGCGAAAAGCATTCGGGAACTGTCTATTATAGTTTCTTTTTCAAGGGACAATTCTATAATAGTAGTGCCTTCAAATGTGTTGGGTTCACGACTGAAAAAGCGTTAAAATGACAAATCACTCAACCCATTCCAATGATTATTTGTAGTCGCTGATTCCTGATTTTACGTGAAAAAACGGAGAAAAAACACCCGATTACAAACTTCCTTCACACTTTTTAAATGGTCGAAACAAAGAGCAAACAAGCAAATTGCTTCATAAACAGTACAGTAGATAGATAGATACTTAAATTAGTTATAGAATGACATCTATAAATCGTAATAAGACATAACAAATTAAACTATATGTCATGAAGTTTGCGCAGCAGGCGATAAGGAAATATTTTCATTTGCCTCTCCATCTTACAGCGAGCAATAGGTGGATCACGACAGCATAGGTTGTTTGCTGAGTAGGTAGAACGTGTCGGAACTAAATCAAACAACAGATTATCAGAACCTGTTTGGAGGATTGCATCGTAGAGTTTTTGGTCAGCTCTTCTAATAGTTGCAGATATTGGTTCATAAGTATCAGTAACGCCGAGCCTTATTGCACGTCTTTGAAACAAATTTATCTTCTCAAGATCTGTAACATTTGAACCACCCCAAACATTAATGCCACAGTAAAGCTTTGGGAGAATAAAAGCACGATACAAAATAGCAAGTTCGTCCTTCGAATAACCGATTTTACCAAGGCGCCAGATTGAAAAAAGTATAGAATTCGATTGTTTAACAGCTTTGTCAATATGCTTAGAAAAACCAAATTTGGAGTCAATCGTAAACCCCAGCACTTTGAGGTCATCAACAACCTCAATGCCCTCAACCATATGTATGGCATTACTACCACTATGGTTGAAAATGATACGCATTTCCTTGGAAGATTTTTGAACATTGAGAAACAAGTTTCTTGCGTCAAATTGGTGACAGAGCGAACTAATAACTTCCCGAGCATTGTCAGCGCTATTGCAGCCAGCTACAAGAGGATTGTTATGGTCAGCATAAGTTGATAACGTGGTAGAAATATCTGAAACATCAATAGCATGGGTAGAGCAATTGTAAGAGGCGGACCAAGGACAGTGCCCTGAGGGACACCCTGATTAGTATACAAAACAGTTGAATCCAAGCCATTGAGAGATGTATAATGGGCCCTATTTTGCAAGAAGTTAATGATTACGTTGACAACCGCAGGATCGACTACTGGGACAATATTCATTACTCCTTCTATAACACTCTTGTGGGAAATAGTATCAAAAGCTTTTGACATATCTAGAGAAAAGAAGCGAACATAATCATAGTTTTCACGGAAACTCCAGAGATGATGTTGCAGCCTAATGAGCATACAGGAAGTAGAAGAATGTTTACGAAAACCATACTGGTTACGTGTAAGCCATCTGTTATAAGGGCCTTGCAGATAGTTCTGGTAAATTAACATTTCAAACACTCTGAACATAACTGAAGTAACAGAGACAGCCCTCAAAGAGACGAAACTTGCTTTGGAGACGAAATTTTTGGCAAGGGAGATATTTTTGCAGGCTTCCAAAACTCCGGGAAAATACCTTGTTCCAAGCACAAGTTGAACATATGACAATAGATTTCGGCCAAATTGTGAGCATTGTCCTTAAAGATCCAAAACGGCAGAGCGTCTGGGCCAGTAGCGGTGCGCCTAATGCGTTTCATGGCATTAAATATTTGCAAGAGCGAAAACTGCGGATCGTCATTTGTAGTCTCCAAATAAGTAGGCTTGAATGGGCCTCCAGAAGCAGTGGAGATGCCATTATAGTACTGGTTAAGCTGCTCAGCCAAAAAGCACAGGTGCGATCTGGGGCTATTGTATTCTTATTCAATAAATTATTCACACGCTGCCACCAGTTTCGACCACTGGAATCAGAAAAAGCACGTTTAGTAATTAACATACGAACTTGAAGGCCGACAGCATTCGCTTCCGCAAGTTTACCTCGACGTGTATGTCGATGCTTCTTCCTTAAAAGATATTTGATAACCAGAGTCATGAAAGGTGGATCCTTTGAGCTAAGAACAACACGTTTCAATGGACAGGCGACCTTATACAGATTCAGAAGCTCGTTAGAAAGTTCCCCTAACAACACATTTGGATCGTTGTAGTTAAGAAAATAACTTAAATCATGGGTATCCAGCAAATAGTTCAAATGATTTTTGTTGGCAAATCTATGGTCACGAAAATAAACAACCTTCTTTTCAGAATGTCCAACACCATGATAAGCAACCAAACCCATATGGTCCGTTCTCAGAGTAGACGTAAATCGTTCAATACCATTGAAATAAATTTCATCCGAACACAATATTTTGTCAAGTCTATTATTCCCGCGTGTGGGTTCCGTACAAACATCGTAAAGACCGCAATCTAATACGAGATCCTCAGTATCCAAGTTATTGAAATCCCCGCAGAGTACAATAAATGACCATGGGTTCTGGTCCCTGAAGACATTGATGGAAGGTAGGATATGCATTTCTAGCTGACGGCCATAATTAGCATCAGGTGGGAAATAAACCAAACAGACCAACAAATATTTATTTCCTACGCTAAGTGACAGCCACAAAATTTTATACTGATCAGAATGATGACAAGTCCACCGATCACTGACAATACCTTCACGAACAAAAATACAGACACCGCCGCCTGTGGTTTTGTTTGAGTTCAACGAACTGCGGTCTTTCCTAAATATATTATACCCAGGAATAGCAATAAACGAATTATCAATGTCCGTGGTTAACCAAGACTCAGTTATACAGATAATATCAAATCCGTGATAACTGGCATCAAACTGTAGTTCATAAATGGCATTACGTTTTTTCAATGAACGGACATTCAGCAAACAGAGAGTAATTTTGCGGTTGGCTAGTCAAAACACATGTTCTTTGCCATCCAGATACAATTTTAAATCTCTAACTCTCAGTCTATCCTTTGAGATACTGGTTTTAACAAGTTTATAACGTTCAGAGAGAATACGCGACTCCAATTTCTTTTCGTCAACAGTAAGCTCTCTGGATAAGTAGATGCGATCAGAATAATCTTTCGAGATATACGATTTAGCCAGCAACTTACGAACCAGCCATGGATTCTTAAACCTCACCAGCAAGGTTCTCGGCCTGGTAGCATCAGATCGATACTTTCCCAGCCGAAACGAATCAGTAATAGGCTCATTGACAGGCTCTCCCAAATACTCCATAACTTTTCTGACTGCTTAAATGTCTGAATCCATTCTGTCATGCAATTTCTGGTTGGAAGGTTCAGGCACGCCATTTATTCTTATTCCCATTTTACTTTGATCATCAGGTGTAACAAGCGTTGCTGTGTGGCCATTTACAGTTGTCTTAGTATCAGTGGATACAATAGCTGCTTTAAGATTGATGACTTCAGTTTTGATAGATTCTAGAGAAGTTTCAATAGACTTATCTCGAATGGACGTCTTCATTGCTGTCCTGGCATCTTCAAGGCAGTTCGCACAGGCAGGCCCACATAATCCCACGAACCGATGATAGATGGTCGTAAATCTGCTGCGGGATGTCCGTAAACGCCCGATGCCACCACTCGCCACATCTATCGCGTTGCACTCCTTCGTCTGGCTTCTTCACGGCTGCGTTGCAGGATGTACACGGTGAATTTTGAGCACTCTTCAAGCGTCCACGTGTCCCCGTCATCATAGTATATTAAACTATTTAATAAGTTTATCACAACAATACAGTAATTGCACACACTCCAATCGGAGCTTCGCTTTACTTTAATACAATACTAAATAAATTAAAGAGCAAGCAAAAACGTAAAAAGAGGAGAGCCCCTACGTCAGGAAGATTCTGTTTTCAGAATCGAGCTCAGGACATTGGACATTCGTTAGTTCCAGGCTTATTTTTTGACAATTAAAAAATTGACTTCAGTAAGAACCAAGGTACTACCAGATGTGTCTTGTGAGCAAAGTTGTTTACGCGAAAAAAGCCTAAATCTCCGTTGCAATAGTGTGTTTCATGTGAAATGTATAAAATCTTGTGTGGAAGGCCTCCAATGGGGGATTTTAGAGACAAGATTCAATGAGATATCACCTGTTTAAAACATCCCCAAAGAAAGCTCTCCTGATTGCAGACTCCCGAGCCAGGTACCTGACATTTGGGAATATCAACATCCTATCGCTACCAGGAGCAACTGTAAGCAACGTATATCAATTTGTCCCTCAACAAGGTAAATACGAAATCATTGTTTTATTTGTCGGTGGAAACGACTTATACAGTGGATACCATCCCTCTGTGGCTACTCCACAGGAAGTATTTGAGCGAATCGAAAGCCATGCAAACACGTTGATAACTGTTGCGAAAAAGTTGTACATAATCGGTATACCCCCCAAACCCACCCGAAACTGGAATCGAAAATTTTGAAGACCACGAGTTGATTCGCCATCTAGCAGTAAACCAGAGACTAGCAAACGCATCAAATGAAGCTCGTTGGAACTTCCGAGGGCTAGCCGAACACGTGTATTCAGAAACGCATATTTCCAATTGTGACTGCGTGCACCTCAGCGAGAAGGGAATAAGTCAAATTCGAGTGATACTAAAAACGAAAGTTTTTTTACGAATATTATTCGATCGAACTCGAACAGCAAGGACACCCAAACGTGTACGAGTGCTCATCAGCTTTTGGTTGCAAGTGCGGATCATTCCTCGGCAGTCGATAAAGTAAGCACATACTCCCCTTGTAGTAAATCAGAAACCAAAGGGCTCCTTTCGAAGAATCAACTGGGTTTTCTTTTTGCTGCAGTTTAAAAGTAGAATATACTAAACCAAAGGGCTTCTAGCGAGGAGCCACCTGGTTGAGTGTATTCTATCATTTCCCTAGTTAAGACACTACAAATAAGTTGAAGTAACAATCTGATTAAACCAAATGCTGTAAAGCAAAATCACAATGGCGAATCGAAGAAACAAGTGTTACACTTGTCAAGAAAAAATCAAGAAAGAAAAATTTGTGTGTTATTTTTGTCACAAAAATTTACACATGACACCGGAATGCACTGATTTTGATCAAAATAGCCTAGACGTTTTCATCAAGTATAAAGCAAACATCCTCAATGTTTGCAACCAATGTGTAAACAAAAAAGAGCAAGACCCAAAAACTGACCAAAAAAACGATTTGACCAAAATCGATACCCAACTAGTTGAAATCAAAGACCAAATGAAGACACTAACAGAGAACATTACCAAATCAAATGCCCTGATTGAAACTGTGAAACTAGAACTCAATGAGGTGAAAAACCGAAGCCGCAGAACTTCGCCGCATCACTCGGTGCAGTGAAAATGGGCAAAAAGATCGATACGCCACCACCAGTTCGATTTTCAAGTAACCTTGGAATTCGCATAAGAGGTGTACCCGAAAACACCACGGGGACTCCCGACGAGCGATTCCAAGCTGACATCAAAGCAGTTGAAAAAATTCTTGTTTTCCTCAATATTGATGACAAAAAACTGAGCCAAATCCAGCGCATAGGCAGAAATGATCCAGACCGGACAACCCCTCGCACGCTTATTGTAAACATGGAAAACATGCTCAGCAAAGAACTCGTGATGAAATCTGCCTTCCGGCTGAAAGATTATGACCACGCTGTGTTTATTAGTCGAGAACTGTCAACATCAGACACCAAACTTGGAAACGATTGCCTACGCAAAAGGCGATTCTTAATCGAAAATAAACAGATAGACCAAAAAAATATCAGAATCCGTAACTTGAAACTGGAAACCAAATACGATAATAAATGGGTCGAGTATAGTGAAAACAAGGACACAGCTACAGAAAACGAGTCCGAATGACTAAGTCAAATCAATCTTCTATCCTTCAATATGAGAAGCATTCTGAATCTCCAAAGACGAATGGTCTTCTCTAACTCTATATCTTAAGCCAACTATGACTTAATTTGTCTATCAGAAACATGGCTCACCTCCGAAATTCCTAACAGCGCTCTCTTTCTTCCGTCCTACACAATATACCGGAAAGATCGTGTATGTGAAAAATTCCGATCAAAACACGGAGGAGTCCTCATAGCGATAAAAAAATCAAATCCCTCATGAAGAAGTAGTTCTTCACAACTGTAAATATGATTTAATGGTATTACGACTTTGTATAACCCCGAAGCCCACACTAGTGTGTGCAATATACAACCCACCGACAAATAGCCCTTACCAATGGTCTTTCCAAGACTTTGTGCAGTTTTTTAATAGCCTCGAAAGTCATACCAGTGAAATAAATTACGATCAAATCATCATAGCTGGGGATATCAACTTTTCGAAAACAAATTGTAGCGACATGAGCTCAAATGACGAATACGAAAACGGTATATTAGAAATTCTAATTGAACATAATTTTTCCAATATATCAGAATCTCAGTTAGATGTAATCCTGACGAACAATCCCGACCCAATTATAGACTGTAAAAAGGACCTAGACGTCCTAAGCAATTTTAGTATCAATAACAAACCTTGCTCTGACCACAAGCCAATAAACACAAGCTTTTTTGCTAGTAAAAATTCTATCGTAATTTCATCCATAAAAAAATATGCCTTTAAGAAAGCAAATTGGGATGAAATCAACAATGTTATCTTTACTTTTCCTTTTGACCCCTACTGTTATAGCAATATCGACTTTTTAGTCAAACAATGGTATAACTGGATAGAAGACATAATAAACAACAACATACCCAAAGTCACGAAACATCGATCGTCACTTCCACCCTGGATCTCAAAAGAATCTTCTTTTCTAATAAAGAAAATAGCAACAAAAAAGCGTCAATGGCCAAACCCAAACATACAAAGATCTATAAAAATCAAACGATTGGAAAAACAGTTAAACTCCTTAATCGATTCTGATCTATGTTGTTTTGAGGCTGATATATTCCAAACACGACGTTTTAGCAACATACAGAAATATCTGTCGTCAATAAGAAGAAATCTATCATTACCCCCAATAATAAAGCTCAACGAAACGATTGGGGATTCAAGCGAAGACAGAGCAAATCTTTTTAACTCATTTTTTCAAAGTGTTTTTTTTTTACAGAAAAAAACAATCAATAACGCCAGATCATACCAAAAGAGAAGTTAACGATATACAAATAACGGAAAAAAAATCGAAACCGTGCTTGAAAGCTTTCTGCTGAACAAGTCAACAGGACCCGATAATATTGGTAATATCGTCGTCAAAAATTGTTGTAAATCCCTGCCGAAATCACTCCTCCTGCTTTATAAATTAGTAATGAGTAAAAGCGTATATCCGAGTTACTGGAAGGTAAGCCAGGTGTCGCCTGTATTCAAGGAAGGAAACAAAGCAGATGTTAGCTGTTATCGTCCGATAAGCCTATTGTGTTGTATTTCAAAAGTGTTCGAAAAAATTTCTTTTTGATCAATTGTATGAACATAGTCGCCACAAACTGCATGAAAACCATTTTTGTTTTCGCAGACAAAGGTCAGCTGTAGTCCAGCCATTGCTCTTTTAAGACTCTGTATACAAAAAATTCGACAACAAAAACATAAAAAAATTGGCAGTCATTTATCTAGACTTTGCAAAAGCATTTGACAAAGTTGCGCATCATTTGCTTATCGAAAAACTTAAAATATTTGGAGTTGGCGGAAAACTACTTAATATCATAATTTCATATCTCAATAAACGCAAACAATACGTTAAAATTGAAAACGCCTCGTCTAATCTAATACAAGTCAGCAGTGGAGTACCCCAAGGCTCTATCCTAGGTACGTTACTCTTCTTAATATTCATTAATGATCTACCCAACGCAAGCCCTCACCTTGAACGTTATGGTTTTGCTGATGATTTTAAACTAATTGCTCTGAATGAAATCGACCTAAGGAATGGCGCTCGGGGACTTGAAAACTGGTGTTATGAAAACTTAATGACGACAAATACGAGTAAATGTAAATTACTAAATTTAAGAGGAAATCTATCCACCAAAAAACTGAACGACACCGAACTGCATCCCACGAATGTTCAAAAGAATTTGGGCCTCTTAATAACCCCAAATCTTATATGGAACGAAAACTGTAAATTGCGTGCCCAAAAGGCAACAAGGGCCTTTTTCCAATTAAAATGAAACATATCCGATACGTGCTCCTCGGTAAACAAACTCCACTCGTATACTAGCTACATTGTCCCGATTATAACTTACTGTTCACAAGCTTGGTCACCAAGTAGAGCCAACTTAGTAAGTTTCGAACGAGTACAAGTAAGGGCCACAAAGTGGATTCTTAATTGCAATCTTGACTACAAAGGGAGACTAGTCAAACTTAAACTACTGCCATTATGCCTCTACGTTGAAATGCACGATCTTCTCATGTATTTATCCTTAGTAAATTCCAAATATGACATATCAATTGCTGTTGAATCTTCTGAGGAAGAAAAAACTCGTCAACACAGCAGAGGAGAACATGCAGTCAACAAAAACAGACTGAACAAATCAGACGAAAACTTTTTTCACAGAACGAAACTCTTACACAACATCGTCATCAAACACTACGAAGAATATGGGAACCAACTTGACAAAAAATCAATAAGCAAACTTTATTGGGATTACTTTGTCAGAAAATTCAATTATCTAAACAGATGCACTTGGAGAATTATCTGCAAATGCATTCACTGTAACAACTGGAAAAAACTCGAAACTCAAACTTAACTTGATGAAAACATGTAAATGACGG